ACCATCTTGCAGGAATGCTTTATATTTCTGCATGACTGAGGCTTGGATGACTGTAGATATAGTCCTTGGGTTCCCTTCTGAATCCATGATTCTGTGAAACTCTCTCTTGCACTCTGTCCCTATGTATATACAAATATACATACAAACATATGCCCTTTTGCAGACACTTAAAAACCCCACTGTTTAGATTTCTGTCGAGAGCAATAAGAATATTTAATTTCTTTTATCTCTAGAGTTTTCATTATCATTTAAATTTCATTTTACGTTAATTGATTGGGGATTAGCAAAGCCATTATTCAGAAATCAGACTAAGACGAGCCAGATGCGATGAATAATTCATGACGCCCAATTACATGTTACAATTCTGGTGTACCTTTTAAAAACTTGCCTCCAACTTCCAGTCTGTTGTGAAATGAAATGACGGCACTTAAAAGTCAAGCAACGGCGGCACGCTCTCCTGAGCAGCTGTGCTCTCTGAACCTTGCCACCTCCTCTCCCAAAATAAAATCTTAGAACACCGTGTGTGGGGTGCGGGGAGGCAGCCGAGGCGAAGATGTCAGGCACTGGATAATCTTGCCATTAACAATGAAAGGAAGCTTTGGCAAGTAGTACAGAGAAAAAAGTAATGGGAATGGGAATAAATAACTTGACACGTTTATATAAAAGAATGCTGTTTAGCATGGACAGATGCCACTAGATCATTCTGATAATTGATTGTTTTATAGTATGCAGGATTTAAAAGCCAACCCACAGAATTTCTGATGACTTTTTCCCCCTGCATCCGTTAATCACTGAAAATACTAATCGGAGGGATTAACAAACAGGCAATGAGAGTAGAGCCTCGCTTATCCAACCTTCGCTCACCCAATGTTCTGTATTATCCAACACAGTCTGCCTCCCATCGGGATCTACAGCTGTTTCAATACATTGCAATGTTTTGGTGCTAAATTCGTAAATTTAGTAATCACTATTATATATTTACAGTATTTATATTCTGCCCTTATCACCCTGCAGGGGACTCAGGACGGATTACAATGCACATATACATGGCAAACATTCAATGCCATTTAGACATACAGCATATATAGACAGACACAGAGGCAATTTAATATTCTAGCTTTTTCCAGCTTCATGAGGGTATGCTGTGTATTGAACTGCTTTTTTCTGTCGATTTGTTGTAAAACATGATGTTTTGGTGCTTAATTTGTAAAATCATAACGTAATTTGACATTTAATAGGCTTTTCCTCAATCCCTCCTTATTATCCAACATTTTCGCGTATCCAACGTTCTGCTGGCCCATTTATGTTGGATAAACAGGACTCTGGATCCCCGGTGGTGCAGTGGGTTAAACCCCTGTGCCGGCAGGACTGAAGAGCGACAGGTCGCAGGTTCGAATCCGGGGAGAGGCGGATGAGCTCCCTCTGTCAGCTCCAGCTCCCCAAACGGGGACATGAGAGAAGCCACCCAGGATGATAAAAACATCAAATCATCCGGGCGTCCCCTGGGCAATGTCCTTGCAGACGGCCAATTCTCTCACACCAGAAGTGACTTGCAGTTTCTCAAGTCGCTCCTGACACGACAAAAAAACAAAAAAACAAAAAACCAGGACTCTACTGTATAAATAAATTGGTAAAATATTACAGCTTCTGACTTTGGCCCCAGCTCAAACTGAGCTGCCTCTAAGGTGAATGTAGTTCACGTTCGTTGTGAACCTCCTTAAATATTATCTCCTAGGTTGGACCATACACAGTTAAGATCATAAGTGTATGGATCCAGAAATGCTCTATGTCCAGAGTACTTGAAAGAAATGGAGTTACATCATGAGGATTGCTGCACTTGTAATACAATGTAGAAATGATGGACCAGGGCTTATCCACACAGCCCTATATCCCAGAATATCAAGGCAGAAAATCCCACATTATCTGACTTTGGACTCGGATAACCCAGTTCAAAGCAGATATTGTGGGATTTTCTGCCTTGATATTCTGGGATACAGGGCTGTGTGGAAGAGCTCCCAGAACGTATTTGAGATGACCATATTGCCAACTGAAAAACGGTGTCAGATTCACAGCAAACCACAGATAGTTTATTTGAAGTATGTGTCAACATAGTGTAAATGGGGACAAGCAAAGAAAAATCTACTGAGGTTCTCATTAGAATATGGCTATGTTTTAAACTTGCCAGAGCTGTAAACCGCCTTGGGTCCCCCTACGAGCTGAGAAAGGTGGGGTATAAATGAAGCAAATAAATAATAAATAATGGGCTCCACTTCCAAACGCAGACCAATGAGAAAAGCTAGACATCCTGGTTAAGATGTCTAGCCACTACTTGCTTATGTGTCCTGATCAGATCATAGACTTCCAATTCCTGGACATGGTTGTTTCTCCCAAGAACTGAAGATGGCACTGTGTATGTCTATATTCAATAATCCAAATAAGATTGCAAGATTGAAACTGTATTATATGGTCAGTGTAGACTCACAATGCAGTTAAACTGCATTATATAGCTATGTAGATGGGGCCATTGTGAGCAAATGTCTGAGGCTGGATCAACACTGCCAATAAAATAGTTTAGTAAAGGTTTCCTCTGATATTAAGTCTAGTTGTGTCTGACTCTAGGGAGTGGTGCTCATATCCATTTCTAAGCTGAAGAGCCGGCATTGTCTGTAGATGCCTCCAAGGTCATCACTGCATAGAGTGCTGTTACCTTCCTGCAGAAGCGGTACCTATTGATCTGCTAGGTTCAAACTGCTAGGTTGGCAGAAGCTGGGGCTAACTGCAGGAGCTCACCCTGCTCCCCGGATTTGGACCACCAACATTTCGGTCAGCAGGTTCAGCAGCTCAGCAGTTTAACCCGCTGCCCATTGGCCCACTGACCATATAATAAAGCAGTTTAGCTTCATATAATGCAGTGCAGTTGAAACTGCATTATCTGACAGTCAGGATCCAGCCTGATTTGCCAGAAACTGTGAAGTCCTGCATGGTGTAACACTTTGTGTCATCTGTGTTTTGAAGGGACCACTAAGGTGTAAGGTGGACTGGAGTCACAGAATGTTTTGCGGCAACATAAATGTGACACACATTTTTGGGTTTAAGCTTTCAGTTTAGTTACAAGTGAGTCCAAGTCCACAAAAACCTTTTTTCAGAAATCAATATCACTCATCTTCAAGGGGCTGCAAGATTCCTTACAGTTTTTGTGTTGGAAACAGATAATGAAACAGAAAGGCAGGATCAAAATGATGTAAAATAAATAATAACTCTCAGTCAACCAGACTCTCAGTCAACCAGAACTCTCAATCAATGGGCAAAAATTAGAAAAAGAAGACAGAATGTTTAAAAGCTGTTTCTATACTATAGAAAAACAGTGTCACATGATGTTTTCCTTTGCATGTCTTCATATGCTATGAATGGCTACAATTCAATATTAATATCAAGTCAATACAGAGTATTGTTGAAGGCTTTCATGGCCGGAATCACTGGGTTGGAGTGAGTTTTCCGGGCTGTATGGCCATGTTCCAGAAGCATTCTCTCCTGAGGTTTGCCTGCAGCTGTGACAGTCATCCTAAGAGGTTGTGAGATGTGTTGAAATCTAGGAAAATGGCGTTTATATATTTGTGGAAAAAGAGGTAGCCGTGAATGTTTCAATCGGCTACCTTGATTAGCATTTAATGGCCTAGCAGTTTCAAGGTCTGGCTTCTTATTGCCTGGGGGAATCCTTTGTTGGGAGATGATTAGCTGGCCCTGATTCTTGACCAGAATCCCCGTTTTTGAGTTTATGATGTGGTGTACTCTGGACTACGGAGTCCCCAGTGGCGCAGTGTGTTAAAGCACCGAGCTGCTGAACTTGCTGACCAAAAGGTTGCAGGTTCGAATCTGGGGAGTGGGGTGAGCTCCCGCTGTTAGCCCCAGCTTCTGCCAACCTTGTTGTTGTTCATTCATTCAGTCGTCTCCGACTCTTCGTGACCCCATGGACCAGCCCACGCCAGAGCTCCCTGTCGGCCGTCACCACCCCCAGCTCCTTCAAGGTCAGTTCAGTCACTTCAAGGATGCCATTCATCCATCTTGCCCTTGGTCGGCCCCTCTTCCTTTTGCCTTCCACTTTCCCCAGCATAATTGTCTTCTCTAGGCTTTGCTGTCTCCTCATGATGTGGCCAAAGTACTTCAACTTTGTCTCTAGTATCCTTCCCTCCAGTGAGCAGTCGGGCTTTATTTCCTGGAGGATGGACTGGTTGGATCTTCTTGCAGTCCAAGGCAACCTAGCAGTTCGAAAACATGCAAATGGGAGTAGATAAATAGGTACCGCTCCGGCAGGAAGGTAACAGCCCTCCAATGCAGTCATGCTGGCCACATGACCTTGGAGGTGTCTAAGGACAATGTCGCCTCTTCGGCTTAGAAATGGAGATGAGCACCAACCCCCAGAGTAGGACAGACTGGATTTATTGTTAGTGGAAAACCTTTACCTTTAACCTACTCTGGAATATAATATTAGCTAGGTTTAATAGGAAGTCTCAAGCAACCAGAAACGGCATTTAAAAATCCGATATCTCCCAATCCCCACGCGTGCCGGTTTACTGAGAGTGTGCGCTTTCCCTTCCCACTCCTGGAGGGTGAAAATCCTGTCTTGATGAGCCATGTTTTGCTTCAAAGCCAACAAAGCCTGCGGGCGTCTCCTTTGAAAAGATTGGAAGATTGCAGTCCTTGGCCAGTGGCGCTAGGTGGCGCTGTTCGTCTTCCCTTCAGCAGGGAAAATGAATCTCCTTTGGCCCTTTTTTGCAGGGCGACCCACTCGCTTTGAGTTACAGCCAAAAAAAAACAACCCAAAACAAAACCCCTTCTCCCTTCCCCCACCCCCTAATTTTCCCCTTGGGCTGTGGCCGCTCCTTTTACCTGTGGGCTCTTATAGTGCAAAGTTTGCATTTGTCCCCGATCTCTCCCCCCCCCCCCCCCCCCCCCCCCCCCCACTTTTCCCCTTCCTTTCTCTCTCTCTCTCTCCTTTGCAGCACAACAAGCCGCTCTACTCCTTTGAAGACAATGCCGACTATGTCTACGATGTCATGTGGTCGCCTGTTCATCCCGCGCTCTTTGCCTGTGTGGACGGGATGGGCCGCCTGGATCTCTGGAACCTCAATAATGACACCGAGGTGAGGCTTCAAGGAAGAAGGAGGGGAGGAGGAGGAGAGGATATGGGTGTGTCTGTGGCTCTTAAAGGCTTACAGTGGTTGTCAAGCCTGCCTTGCATAGAGGACAAGGGTCTAGAGATCCATCTGGCCCCCAGAGCCTGCTCTGCATAGAGGAGGAAGGTCTGGAGATCTTTCTGGCCTCCTGATCTGGCTTTCAGAGCCTGCTCTGCATAGAAGAGGAAGGTCTGGAGATCATCTTGGTATCCAGAACCTGCTTTGCATAGAGGAAGAAGGTCTGGAGATTCTTCTGGCCTCCAGATCTGGCCTTCAGAACCTGCTCTGCATAGAAGATTAAGGTCTGGAGATCCTCCTGGCCTCCAGATCTGGCCTCCAGAGCCTGCTTTGCATAGAGGAAGAAGGTCTGGAGATCCTTTCGGCCTCCGGATCTGGCCTGCTTTGCATAAAGGAGGAAGGTCTGATCCTCCTGGCCTCCAGAACCTGCTTTGCATAGAGGAAGAAGGTCTTGAGATCCTATTAGCCTCCAGATCTGGCCTCCAGAACCTGCTTTGCATAGAGGAGGAAGGTCTGGAGATCCTCCTGGCCTTCAGAACGTGCTTTGCATAGAGGAAGAAGGTCTTGAGATCCTTTCGGCCTCCGGATCTGGCCTCCAGAGCCTGCTTTGCATAGAGGAGGAAGAGGTCCGGAGATCCTTCTGGCCTCCAGATCTGGCCTTCAGAGCCTGCTCTGCATAGAAGAGGAAGGTCTGGAGATCCTCCTGGCCTTCAGAGCCTGCTTTGCATAGAGGAGGAAGGTCTGGAGATCCTTCTGGCCTCCAGATCTGTCCCCCAGAGCCTGCTTTGTGTAGAGGATGAGGGGTTACGAATCAGTTTTTGGTCAACTTTAGATTTGGTTTGGGCTGCTGATTCAGAAAATTGCATTAGATTGACCAAGTCAACTCTAGTCTTTGATACAGAACATATGCCATGGTCAGTGAAAGGGAAGGAGTGGCAAGTGGCGCAAAAGGAGCAGAAATAGAATAAATGAAATAAATAAAGAGGAAGGAGGCTCGCAGACAATATTTTCGTTCTCGCGGCCCACTGGTGGTCTGCGGTCCACAGGTTAAGAACCACTAGCTTAGATGCACCCTTAGGTGGCTTTCCAAAGATTCCAGGGACCACCCGCTCTACAGCGGTCCTCATCCTTTAGAGGCTAATTTGAGTTGTATGTCCTTTACTTTGTTTTAAAGAAATTTCTGTGTCACCTCTGGACCACAAAGCCCTGTAGATGATGAACAACAATGAAAACTAGGCTAGTGTGGTTGTCAAACTGGTTTTGCACAAAGGAGGAAGATCTGAAGATTTTTTGTTCTCACCAAAGCCTCTTGACACCACTTTGACCGCAATCGCTAAATGGTGTGGAGTCTTGGGACTTGTAGTTTGATGACGCACCAACTACATCTCCCAGGATTCTATAGCAAGTAGCCATGTGGCAGTTCCAGTGATATCAAGGTGGATATCACTTGTGGTGGTTCTCAACCGCAGATGTTTTGGCCTTTAGAAATCCTAACAGCTGGGATTTCTGAGAGTTGTAGGCCAAAACACCTGCAGGTTGAAGAACTGGTGTAGCTGCACCCTTCAATGGCTTGCTTGGAAATGGTCAGCTTTCCAGAGATCCCTGGTCCACTAGCTCTGCTGCAGTTCCTCAAGGTCCAATTGGAGTTACTACTACTACTAATACATATATACATATTTCTCCATGGGGACTGTGGGCAGTTCATAAAAAACAGTGGCAAACATTAAATGTCCTATAATAAAGTTTATGTCCTTTATTATTTTTTTATTTGTGTATTCAAGAGATTTCATTGGGGTTGTCCAAAGCCCTGGAAGTGATAGACAACACCAATGAAAACAGTGCAAAAAGGAGATGCTGGGTGCAACTACACTGCAGAATGAATGTGGCTTCACGCCACTTGAAGTGCCATGACTCAGGCCCCATCTAGACTGCCAGTTTCTGAATTCAGATTGTCTCCTTTGAGCTGGATTATATGGCAGTGTAGACTCACATAATCCAGTTCAAAGCAGATAATCTGGATTCAGAAACTACATATTATATGGCAGTGTAGATATCCAGCTTCAATGCTATGGGATCTTGGGACTTGCACTTTGATGAGGCACCAGCACCCATCACACTACACCACCCATAATTATATAGCATTTGGGCATGACAGATCAAGTGATGTCAAACTGCATTCATTCTGCTGTGTAGACCACTTGGATGTAAATGTGAGCTTTCCAAAGATCCCTGGCCCAGAAGCCGTGCTGCACCTCTTTCAACACCCATTGGAGTTTATTTCCTTCATTTATTTATTTTTATAGTCAAAATATTTCTATATCTTATAAATATTATACATATTTATATATCAAGCCCTGGAGGCAATGAACAACAACACCATAGATCTAATGCCTCAGGCCTGATTGGCCAGATGTGTTTGAAAAGCTTAAATTTACAACCAAGCAGTATAAGGGTGCATACAGTAGAACTGATGCAGTTTGACACCACTACCTGCCATGGCACAAAGTTTTAGGATGATGGGATTTGTGGTTTGCTGAGGCAACAGTGCTCCTGGGCAGAGAAGGAATTCTCCAGCATTGAGCCATGGCCATTCAAGTGGGGTCAAGCTGCCATGAGGAAGCAACGAGCAGCAATGGAAACAGTGGAGAGAGGAGACATTTTCAAAGAGCGTTAAAATACTCTTTCGAAAGAAATAACTTTTGAAAGCCGTTTTAATCCTAAAATACAAGTTGGAAACAAATATCAAAAGCTATACAGAAGAGCACTGCATTGGCTGGCCACTGGAAGCTTTAAAGAGATGGAGCCAGTCTTATTTCCTTGAATAGGGAGTTCTACCTTCTGGGTGCTGCAGCAGAGAAGGCCCTGGTCTGTGCCTACACTGACCTATTCTTTCAGTGCAAACCGAATAAACTACAGTTTAAGAGCCTCCAAGTAGACAAATAGATAAACACACTCATCCACCAACTGTACACACAGACACATGTACAGAGGGAGAGACAGTATATGCAAGTGTATAGTATATACAGGCAGTCCTCAAGCTATGAATAAGATAGGTTTGTTCTTAACTTGAATTTGTTTGTAAGTAAGAATAGATACTTTCAAAAGTGTAACTCCAGCCACATGCACACACACACACATAAGTAAAGGGTAAAGGTTTCCCCTTGACATTAAGTCTACTTGTTTCCAACTCTAGGGGGTGGTGCTCATCTCCATTTCTAACAGAAGAGCTGGCATTGTCCATAGATGCCTCCAAGGTCGTTTGGCTGGCATGACTGCATGGAGCACCGTTACCTTCCTGCCAGAGCAGTACCTATTGATCTACTCACATTTGCATGTTTTCGAACTATTAGGTTGGTGGAAGCTAGGGCTAACAGCAGGAGCTCCCCCCGCTCCACGGATCTGAACCACTGATCTTCTGGTCAGCAAATTTAACCCGCTGCTCCACTGGGGGCTTCACGTATACATATTAATTAATTATAGCTTTGGAAAGCATAAGGAAGGGTTAACACCCCTGTGGTACCTGTCCCCCTTTTCAGAAGATTCCACCTTACTTTCTGTCCCTGTGACAATTGGATTTTGAAAAAAATGGCTTGTTGTGGAAACGAGGATTAGTGATGAAGCTTCAGTAGAGACACCTTTTCCCCATGACAACTTTTTCAGGAGTGAATTTCCCTCCCAAGAGGTAGATTTATTTCACTTTCTGTTGGCACTCCCCTCCTTCTTACCTATGAGTCATTTGTAAGTGGGATGTATTGTCGAAGGCTTTCATGGCTGGAATCACTGGGTTGTTGTAGGTTTTTCGGGTTGTATGGCCATGTTCTAGAACAGTGGTTCTCAACCTGGGGTCCTCAGATGTTTTTGGCCATCAACTCCCAGAAATCCTAACAGCTGGTAAACCAGCTGGGATTTCTGGGAGTTGTAGGCAAAACATCTGGGGATCCCAGATTGAGAACCACTGTTCTAGAAGCATTCTCTGCCTACCATAGATTCAGGTGAAACATCAGAAGATAATGCTTCTGGAACATGGCCATACAGCCTGAAAAACCTACAACAACCCTATAAGTGGGATGTTAACTCAGGGATGGCCTGTATATGTAAGCGATTGTGGCTGTAGCAGTCAAAATTGAAAATAAAACAACATCCATACTTGGATAATACCAAGCAAATTCTGCAGAAGTCTCCAAGCTTTCAGAAGTTTGCACACTTCCAAGTTTTGGTCAGTCTTAATGAAGACATCATCCAACTATATATTTGGGCCTTCTGATAGCTTCAAACTACTACTTCTGTTATTATCTTCATCCGTCCCTGGTACTATCATAGTAGGTCTTGCATACCCTGCAACCTTTCACAGATGTCAACTGGGCCACCTAGTAACATCAGAGTTGGTCAAGATGGCTTTAGTAATAATTGAGGACGAACATGGAACCCAGGAAAGGCTGCAGGGAAGAAAAGCTGGAACATTTTAAAAGCAACTTTAAAAAAAGGATTAATTGGGACTGTTCTTGCAGGGTTGGGACAGTTGGAGGACAAGGGCATGCAGAACATGCAGTTGATAGTGCACATGTGTAGAAATGGATCAATGGGGATATATTAACACTAAGGCTTTTCTACCTATTTCAAAAACATGTGTTAAACACGTACACTTCTTATAGTTGGCAATTTAGAGTTTACGTGTCCATTTTCAAGGAGACTTGTTTGTTAGAAAGTTGATCTTCTCTCTTTCTGTCTAGAACATATTTTGTAAATTTCACCTGTGTGGAGCTTCACTTGCTACAAAGAAGTTATGTGTAATGTATTGTTGAAGGCTTTCATGGCCGGAATCACTGGGTTCTTGTAGGTTTTTCAGGCTGTATGGCCATGTTCTGGAAGCATTCTCTCCTGACTTTTGCCTGACTTTTGCCTCACATCCTCTGAGGATGCCGGCCACAGATGCAGGTGAAACGTCAGGA